AGGGGTAACAAAAACACGTTTTTGCTTTCCATACAGAGTGAGTCGGTCTAATATACATATGTATCAAAAATTTAGAATTATTTCCTTATAATAAGATAATTTTCAGGAAATCAGTATTAATATTCCAACTGCTGACTGGTATACTTCCAAAAATTGTAAAACGTTGGACTCTAAAATATTTTTGAAGTTGTTCATCAATTTTATGGTCAATCCATCAAATTGTAAGAGTTATATTTTGGAACGCATTAATCCTTCAACGAAATAAACCAAAATAATGTTATAATTAATATTGAATATACATAATTTTGTATTTATTGAAATTACCTGTTATACTTTAGGAATCAATAGAAATAGGATTCTCTTATGTCCAATACATTTACCACCAAAGTTTAAACGGTCAGATCAATTTTTTACATTTTCTGCAAATAATCGACATTTTAACTGGAACCGCGTGATTAAATAAGACATATATAACTTACCAGATCCCTTTTTTATATTTTAATTCGGTTAGAAGTATTTTAATAGGTGGTACAATATTAGCTACTGCTTTCTAAAAAAATAAAATAATTAAAAATTAATTAATTTATTTATTGTTTTGAATCAATTAAAACATTAACTTTCATAAACATTTTTTTTAAATAACTTGGAATTAAACCGTCTATAAAGATCTGAAATTACTAAGTCATGGATTATTTTTAAAATTATTTACAGTCAATAACGATAGAAACACCTTAACGACCCTAAACGGGATATTGCTTTTGACACTAATATTTCAATACTATTTTTTGTTTGCTCTCTTCTAATTAAGGAGTTATACACGTTCAAAGAATATCTACTTAGGTTCAATATCTTGGGAACGGCATGTTCAATATTAAGAATATTAGTATCATATGATAGGTCATAGAAAGACCTGGTGTTAATAACTAAAAAAGTACCTATAATTAGAATAATTAAATCCAAAGCTATATGAAAATTAATAAAATTGTATTTATTTAAAAATAAATATATTAAATATCTTATTAAATATCTTGTATGGGCAATTTCGTGTCGTGTGACCCAAGTCAAAAAATAATTTATATATAAAACAGTAGTATTAATTTCAATATAACAATGATGGCCAAACATGCCCCTGCGGGCATTGTATTATTTTCACTTATACACATGCAATACGAATATTCTCAGCAACAAAACAAACTATACACAAAACAAAAACAATTTAATTTAGTTGCTCTTTTTATGAAATGATATACAGAGAATATTTTCAAAAGCCGTTACAAATAAATGGTTGTATAAATACTTTTGATAGATAGATTTATTTGTATTGTCATTTATTCAAGCAATTAATCGCCAAAATTTTATCGATTAACGGTTAATCATTTGAACACTTATAGACGGACATACATACATACATATGTACATAAATACATCAAAATATGCATTAATACATTCTTACATCAATACATACATACATCGATGTATACATTCCCTCTGTTGTTCATTTATAATACAAATAATATGAATAACACAAATAAGTACAAACATATAATTTTTTTCAGTGCAAAGCACACATATTTTCATTTATGTTCTCTTTCATATTTTACACTACACATATGCATTTTAAAAATTCTCTTTCTGGCCACCATTGAATATAATGATTCCAGATAGCGTTTGAATACTTTAAGTAAACATTTTAATGTATTTTGTTACGATAATGAAATACAAATAAAATTTTATAGCTCAAAGTGATCAAAAGTAATCTAGAAACAGGACCTTAACGCGCAAATAGTTTAAAAAATATTGAAAGTTAAGATTTAACTCAAATAAATCTAAATAGGTTAAAAATGCAATGTTCATCAAATGAAAGCCGAAAGGTACAACTTGAAAAATTTTTTAAATGCTTATAACTCCCAAACCAATTAAGAAAGAGACGAAATTTAATATAAAAACATTTTTAATTAGACATATTAGACTTCGTTTAAAAATAATGGAAATGGAAGCCGTTTAGAGTTGTTAACTTATTCCTAAAATAGTATTTTAATGTAAAATATGACAACTTACTTTTTAATTTTATTTATACAATCCTAGAAGATAATTACTTTTTGTATATATTTAATAAACTTCGCCAATTAACAAAACCTTCTTAAATGTTTATTAACAGTTGACTTTTAACACAACACTGTCATATTGCTTTTTATTACTTAAGATTCACAATATATTAATTACACTATATTTCTATGAACATTAAATTCAATAACTCATTTAAGTTTTACAATGAATAATTAAACCTGAACATGATTGGACAAAACACAAAACATCACTGAACTTAGCAAAATTTCTGCATTATTTTTTTCACGTTCACGCTAAAAAATGGAGTATTTATATTTTTTTTGTTTTGGTACTTTTTTTACTATCATCCTGAAGTAACCTAAAAGTATAATTCCAGACGGCGAAAACTAGAAATCAATGTATACATTGATTTCTAGTTTTCAAAAGAGTACAAAAACAAAAAAATATAAATACTCAATTTTTTAGCGTGAACGTGAAAAAAAAAATAAAAATAATAATGCAGAAATGTTTTTGTAAAATGTGTGCTCTCGTCTGACAATCGTCCAGAAGTGACTACAATCCACACTTCCAGATGAATAAAATACAACATTAATGTGAACACTCTTCAAACTGTCTTCCAGAAGTGACATAAATATACAAATCAAGAAGATACAAATTAGGAAACAATGTATTTTGTTATTGTAAAATGTGTGTTCTCTCCAGATGAAAAAAATACAACAGTCATGGTTTTTTGTTTAAACAAAATGGATGCACTCTTCTAACTATCATCCGGTAGTCACTTAAAAGTATATTTGTAGAAGTCGAAAATTCAAAAACAATGTATTTTGATTTTGTAAAATGTGCGTTCTCGTCTGACAATCGTCCAGAAGTGTTTCTGACGTGGCGTCTGGGGTGATGCGCAATAGTTTTGTCTTCTAAATGTTTGGAGGGTAGAGTTAGGTACTGCTGTCAAAAAGTCGGACTACTTGTTATACTTTGTCCTCTCCCGTATATGAAAAAGAAGAAGAATGTACTTAGCTAAATTAATTTGATTATGTTGCCAGATAAAGCACTAAAAATACTTGTATTACAGCGATTTCAATATGTTGCTAGATAAAATACCTAATAACATATAGTAGGAATATAGGCGAAACTGAAGGGGTTGTCAAACAAAATTTGTTATTTTCTTCACACAGACGAGTTCTGAGAGAATAAAACACACTTGAGTGAAATAAACGCACTCACAAAACTTAAAATTTTCTTCGCGAAATTGCGAGGATATTAGCACTTAATAGTTTTTCTTATCACTTAAACTTAATATTTATTATTTTTTGCCACACTTTTATTGTATTTAAAACCCCGAAAATAATTTATATTTTACAAACGAAAAAAAAAAAATATTTTTTATTCTTTGACATTTCATTTTAATTAAAACAGAAAACAGAAAAGTTGTAAATTTTCGTATTGAAAATTAAAAAAGTATTTCAAATACTTTTTCCCTTTTTCCATTAGTGCAGAAAAAAATAACAAAAAGAGTTGTTTATAATATGAAATATCTTCTGAAAAAAATTAATTAACTATTATTTTCATTCACTAGTACACAAAATCCCAGTAATAACATACAAAAAATATCGTATCAGAAATACATTTATTATTTAGTACCTTTTGAACAACTGTGTTTATTTTTGTGCTTCTACTAATACATTCTCACTAGTTAGGTTTTTGACAGGGGACTTAGGTCTTTGACAATCCCTTTCGCCTATATGCTACAATATGCCTAATAATATTGGTAAAAACTCAAAAAAAAAAAAAAAAAAAAATTTGGCAGCACTAATTCATAGCAAGAAAAACTCAATTTTTGTCTGCACACAGTCTGCAATAGAGAATTTTTTGTGTTACTCTCTTTTTGTTGAGTGAAAGATGAGTAGTTTGATAAACTACTTTGTTAAAGTAACGGGGATTTGCAAAATTCTAAAAACAGGGTTGTTATAATGCGCATGTGTTATTATTAATAGAAGTTTTTAAATGAAAATAATAAAAAAATGAATAATTTTTTAACCATTTCTATTTATTTCTTAAAAAATAATTGTAATTTTAAACAAAAACATCATTTTGCTTTGATTTTTTCTAATAAACGTCAGAAAATGTGGTTTGTCGGCAGTCGCTTAATTTTAATTCTTCGCTCGCTCTTTTTTGTGGTTTGTCGACAGCGGTTCCAACTGTAATTAAGCTGTAACAATGAATATTTTTAGAAGGGTAACTAAAGCAACTTTTTTGTGAGTCCGTCTAATGTGTATGTAATTATTTTAATGAGATTCGAACGAGTATGAGATTTTTGCTTGTCTTTAATTAAAATCTTTATATAAAAAATATTCGTAATCGACCAAAATAATCGATTATTGGGTCCAATTAATCGACTTAAAAATGGAAACTAAAATAGTTGATCGAAAAAGTCGAAAATCGATTATTGCCTTTTCATACTATTTACCATAAAGCTTCGATGGGGTGACCCTATTGAGAGCAAGAGTAGGAATGAGCAAGTCTGAGGTTAGTATGATGTAACGTATTCTGAGTGGATACACTGGATTACAGGCACAACTATTCAAAATTGGACGTGCGGATTCAGACGAATGTAGAGCATGTGGAGAGGACAGTGATATAATTCCGAATGCAACATTCCTCACGAACACTGATTAGAATATTATTAGGAATTTCGTCCAGGAAACTGAGTTTCTGAAGAGTGAAAGATAATATATTCAGTTAACACAATGTTTTTTTACCAAAAAAAATTCTTCCATGAAAAGGAGTGCTCAACTGGCCCGATAGTGGCCTACGGATTTGATGTAATATACATACACCTATCAACAAAATTTAAAATCGACATCAAAAACGCTAGTAATAAAACGATTTATAACTATAAACTAGATGTTAAAGTACTAGACATAAAAAAGATATTAATTTACATATTGTAATTTTATTTAATAGGTTTGTTCCAGCTTTGAATATTATTTCATTGGTTTTCAGATTATTGTAGAGAATCATGCATACATTTTTGTAAGATATGAATGAAATATTTATAATACATCAGCAAGAGGAACACCGAAACCGAAAGTTTGCTTAATACTATGCCAGTAGTATCGATACCAGTTAGCCTTCATTACATCACATTCAGACGCTGGAACTCCAGTTTGCCGAAGTTTCATTTGGGTATAGTTTTTCTGAAAAAAGATTAAAGAAATTTTGTTAAATTACATATTTATGTATTAAGTAATAGGGTATTAAAATGATTAATCGCTCGAATAAATGACGTGATGTTATTCCGGAAATAACATTCCTGTCTAACACTGATTGGAAGTTTCTTAGGAATTACGTTCAGGAAACTGAGTTTCTGAACACTGAAAAATGATTCATTCAGTGAACTTTTGTTTTTTTGTTTGTTTTTTCATGATAATGAGCGCACAACAGGCCCGATAGTGGACTAGGTGTATTTCTTCGGATTTGATGTAGTATACATCCTACTATCAACCTAACCTAACCTTACGGAAATTTAAAAATATGGAGTAATTCATGATACAACCAGGTACAATCACTAGGGAGAGTCGTCAATTTTATGTCATTGGAAGAAAAATTATAAAAAAAGTTTGAAATCTAAATTAAAACTCATAAAAATACCATGTAGTGTTTCTTAAATTGCACCCGAAAGCATCATTCCACGCTTCACTATTATGTTTTTGATTTTTGAATGGGTTTTAAGCTGTTTTTATTATAACTTATTTTAAACCTCCATATGTATGTATTTCATAGTTATTGTTGTGTTTGGTAACCCTTCCACCAGATGACAGTTTTATTGTATTTATCATCTACTTTTATATCTATCATTAAATATGTACACACAATATTTCTATTACTTTCGGTGCGAGATCGTTTTGTCGTAATAGTAAAAACTAAAAATCATTTTTCACGAATATTCGATAAATAAAAATTTAAATAAAATTTTGATGAGAAACATATTAACCTCTACTATCTGATTTTTCAAATCCTTTAACTTGTTTCAGAGTTATTAAAAAAATAATAAATGTTCAATAAACATTCAAAGCCATTTTCTAGAAACGACGCACACTGGCCCACGATCACGGGGATTGTCCTCCCAACAACAATGTCCGAAGATTGGTAGATAAGGCGAATATGCACAATATCCCTGTCGTCATATGTGCTGACGCTAACTCGCACCACAGTATCTGGGGTAGCAGCGACACCAACACAAGAGGTGAGCAACTTTTCAATTTCATTATTAGTAGAAATTTGGAAGTAGTAAATAGGGGTTCAGAACCCACTTTCATTGTATCTAACAGAAGAGAGGTACTAGACATTACTCTCGTGAGTGCTAAGCACCGCGAATGTATAACGCATTGGATCGTATCAAATGACTGTTCTTTGTCAGACCATCGATACATAGACTTCATGATTGGTAATATAAAAGGGAATATGAATAGTATTCTAAATAGAAGGAAGACGAACTGGGAAGTTCAACATAAACTGCTTTCCTCGTCTCTAATTTCTCTCCCTACTCTAGAAAGTACTGAGGACATTAACGCAGCAGTTCACACCCTAACGGATGCTTTCCGTATGGCGACTACAACTGCCTGTAAACTTTCCATCAAGAGAGGAAAATCCAAACCCACATGGTGGAACACTGAAATAGCAAACGCTAGAAAAGTATGTCGTAAACTGTTCAATGAGGCAAAAAGGACCAATAACTGGATGCCCTATAAGACCTCAGTGAATCGTTTCAAAAATTTGACTAGAAATGCGAAGCGGAAGGCGTGGAGGGACTTCTGCACGAATGTTGAAGGTTCTTCCGAGACCAATCGACTTCGCAAAATTCTGTCTATTTCATATGTTGTCCCGAGCTATATACAAAAGCCCTGTGGTAACTGGACTATGTCCTGCAGAGAATCCTTGGAAGTTCTGCTGGACACTCATTTTCCGGGCTGTCAACCTCTTAATGAAGAGACTGCAGCCCCGGTTCATTTAGCGTCTGATACTTGCTCTATAGTCATTAATAGAGAGAGAATCCAATGGGCGCTTAACAGTTTTGACCCATACATATCTCCGGGTCCTGATGGTGTTATACCTGCGGATCTTCAAAAGAACAAAGATCTCGTCATTCCATGGCTGCTATCGATCTATAAAGCATGCCTTAGGTTGCTATACATCCCTCATATGTGGATGAGATATAATGTGGTCTTTATTCCTAAAGGATGAAAGACATCACATACGAAACCAAAGGACTACAGACCAATCAGTCTCGCGTCTTTTCTTCTCAAGACTCTTGAGAGGGTCATTGATGTACACCTGAGATTAACTATCCCTACGGAATTGATCTCCAAATCAAAACATGGGACATGTAGAAAGTTCACTAGCGCACAAAGAGTACTCTCTTGTTGCCTTCCTGGACATTGAAGGTGCCTTTAACAATGTCGAACCCTATACCATTATAGACGCACTTGATGGACTAGGGATTGATCAGCAAACTCAGCGGCTTATAATAAAACTTCTGAGTAATAGGGTCATAAGTGCAACGATGGGCGGAGTCAATGTCTCAAGACTTGCTAGTCGTGGCACACCAAAGGGGGGAGTCCTATCTCCCCTACTCTGGAATGTGGCTATAAAAGGAAAATTAAGACTGTCGCCTTTGCTGATGATGTCGCGGTAGTGGTAACTGGTAAATTCCTAGATACTATATCAAATTGCCTGGAATCTGCTCTTAACTTGCTTAGCAAGTGGAGTGTTTCCTGTGGCCTCAGTGTAAATCCACTGAAAACTGAACTTGTTCTTTTTACAAGGAAGTATAAGATTGAAAATTTCATGCCTCCAAAGTTAAATGGAATAAGGCTCAATCTCACTGATCATGCGAAATACCTTGGAGTAATCTTTGACAGTAAACTATCCTGGAATATGAATATCCAAAACAGGATAAATAAGGCTAATATAGCTATTTACACCTGCAAGAGGGCAGTTGGTTCAAACTGGGGTGTCAACCCTAAAGGTATCAACTGGATCTTCAAAGCAGTTGTTAAGCCCATATTATTTTATGTTGTTATTGTTTGGTGGCAGGCATTGGAAATCGATTCTCATTGTGCAGCCATCGAACGTACCTTACGAAATATTGCAATCCTAATCACGGGAGCAATGAGGACGACGCCAACGAAGGCCCTGCTAACCATAATGAATTGGTTACCAGCTGACCTGATGGCGATTTAACTAGCCCTTAATTCTGCAATCAGACTAAACGCGTGTGGTTCGTGGTCCGGTAGTAGAGGTATAGGGCACTCACGAATAATTAAACACTTCGAATCTTTGCATCTTAATGTAGACTATTGCGTTGCGAAACCTCACTTCGACAGACGCTTTCACATCCGAATTCCAAATAGGAATTCACCACACGAGTCACACTCAACTGATGGTGTAACGAATGTTTTCACTGATGGCTCCAAGAGGAGTGGAAGAGTGGGTGGTGGCTTTTACATTGAAAGATTTGGAATCAAATCCTCTTTTAGGCTACCTAATTATTATAGTATTTTACAGGCAGAGATATCTGCTATTAAGCGAGTCGCAAACTGGCAGCAAAGCTGCGATTAAAAATCTAGCGGGTGTCTTTACGCCATCTAGGTTAACCGAAGAATGCCGGGTATCTTTGAACGAGATAGCGAGACATTCTAGGATAACGCTAATATGGGTCCCTGGACATACTAATTGTCAGGGAAACTGTATAGCTGACGAACTTGCCAGAAATGGTGCGATAAGAGGGGAAGATGAAATCGACGCATTTACTGGTATCTCTCTTACTAACTATAAGCTACTGGTTAAGATTGAACTATATGAAATGGCTCAAATCAGATGGTTCAGTGAAACCACCTGTCTCAATTCGAGGTCAATTTGGCCTCTATATGACGCTCCCAGGTCAAGCTTGCTATTAAGCTTTCGCAGGGAACAGATAAGAATGCTGGTATCAGCCATAACGGGACACTGTACTATTGGCAATTATGCCAGAAGAATGGGTCTCGAATATAACGATTACTGTAGGAGTTGTAATAATGAGGAAGAAGAGGAAACAATACCTCACCTTCTCTGCTATTGCCCATCTTTCAATGAAAGCAGAGAACAATCTTGTCTGGATGAGCTATCTGGGATATGTCTGAAAAATATCCTAAACTTTGTGAATCAAACCGGTTGGTTTAAATCTGGAAGTAGAGAGTAATAATCAAGTGTACTCCTACGACCACTAGTGTAACACAACGGGACCGCAATTAGGTAGACCCATGTGAGCCACTCATCCTTGATTGAATAGCTGCCCTTCTTACCTAAACCTAAACTAGGACAAATAGACAAATGTATAGTTTAAATTCACAATCTTCCACAAGTAAGTCCGCCAGTATTGTTATTGAATTTAGACACATATCAAAAACAAAAAAGCAAAGAGTATAAGAACTCGCAGACAACATGTAAAAAAACATTATTTTTAGCTACGGAAATGATCAGAAGAGATGGTAGCGAGCATAGAAAAATAAATAGAACTGAGAATAAGAAATATTACTCTCTCACATGTACAGGTTCTGTGTGAATTTAATACAATTGTATGAGTATTTTTATTTTTGTTTACATAAAATAACAAAAATATGAAAGCACAAAATGTATCCGAATACATCATACCCTACCACATTGCGAGTAAGTAGCAATAACTTATTTAGTATTTTTTAATGTAGAAGTTATATTCAAGAGATTGATGTTTGCTTAATTAATGAATGTACTACTCATTATAACAATATATAGTCAAAATTTCGTATATATAAAATTTGTTGAGTCGAATTTTATAAATACCCTATTCTTGTATAGTATGTACCGCTTACAAAAAAGTTCAATAGGCTAATTTATGGACAAAATGTGTGGTGTAGGGTGTATTTTGACTGCATTTGGGCTGCGTTGAAATTGACAATAATCGTTCATATCAAGCGTTAATTTTAGCATTAGCACAATTCCTTTGGCAAAATAGCCCCTGCTGCTGCAATAAACACTGCTAAAAGTTATGTTGTTCCTATAAAATTATTGAAAACATTTTCAGAAAAAAACTAATTTTTCAATCGTTTTTATTTTTTTAATATAATTTTCAAGTGTCAATATTGACTCAACCCAGCAAACACAAAGAGTTTATTTAAAA